GCCCTGAGTGGTAAACAGAAGCCTTCTGTTTCACTTTTCAGGCCAACTGCTTTCATCCAAGGGTTGCTCTTCTTCTCAACACACTGCACATAAACTCATGAGCACATGATTTCATATGGCACTTCACTTGGTTATTACTATTACTGTAAAAGTACTTACAGTATCAGCATTGATCTGTGCCAGCTCATAGGTATATATCATCCCTGTGTATATGGGTTTTGCCGTACACCTTCATTCACACCCAACCTCCCCTCTAAGTGGTTGGCCTACTGTCAGACGATGGATGATTATGGGACTTTCAGGAGGTAGGATGGACTGTATAGCTGTGTTGATTTATCTACTTAGTCCTAATTGTCATTAGCAATTGTCCCCTCACAAGTCCATATAGTTCCCTCCGTTATCTCATTAGTATTGAGTTAGGAACCATATTAAGTGGATTGGTGACTCGGCATTGTTAATTGTGTTTGTACAAATTGTTGCATTACACATGAGCGTGGTACCTAATTAAGTGAGACAATACTGTTTAATTAGAGAAGTCCACTGCCAAGGAAAAGGGTTCTAAAAATTTGGGAACAGGGAAGAATGATGATGAAATCCAAGATGTGTATTTGCCTGTTCAATAAAATGAAGTTTATTTTTTGAGATGAGTGAAATATATAAGTAACTTTGTACTCTAATTCATGATTTCATAAGATTGCTGACTCTTCATGTACCCATGTGTTTATCATAATAGATTTGTTTCCGAAGTGATATGATACAGTACACTAAATAATTGACAATGAGCGTGCAGTGATATTTTCATGTAAAGCCAGACTTGTTTAATAGCTAGAATATTGAGAATATTGAACAGCAAGCAGACATTCAGTCATATATTTGATGCAAGTAAGAAAATCTGTGAATCAGTATTTCAGGAAACCTCCCAACAAGATAGAGTCAGTGAAACCCGAGGAATTTTTTTTATGTTTTTAATTATGAAATTGAGACCCTATGTATCTATATAGATTTGATGATGACTCTGCTGTTGATTTATTGTGACCTACTTAGAACCCTGATAGGTCACAACATCACATGGTAGGTAGTGTGTGACAGCAGCATCAATTACAGCTAAATATAGTTCGACTAATACACATACTTGCTGTCATCTAATGATATATATATCCATAGATGAAAGGATGAACGGACCAGATATATATATATATATATATCTCCCTCTCTTTCTTCTCTCACCCCTCTGTCCTCTTCTCTTTTCTCTCTCTCTCCTCTCTCTCTTTCTTCTCTCTCTCTCTCTCTCTCTCTCTCTCTCTCTCTCTCTCTCTCTCTCTCTCTCTCTATCTCTCTCTCTCAGATAACCATATAAAAATTTCAAGCACCATCTCACATTCAGTCATTATATGATGTTTATGTGGCAACTGTCAGAGTTATTACTCTCTGGACATGTTCATGTATTTATTTTGGACAAATCGTTAATATCATCATTGATTACGCAAAGGTTACAGAATAGCTACAAGGAAATGGGACAAATTGATAGTCAGTTTGCCATCACTGACATTTGCACGATGCATGTTCACTCTGCTCCTACTTCACATCACCAAGACAGTAAAGTGCAAGGTGCAAACACTCTACAGCGTCGGTAACAATAAATCAGGAACTTTATAGTATCATATCCTCCTCCAGTAATTACAGTTCTATTCAAGCTTATGTTCCGGCCCCTGGACGTTTTCCTGGGGACTGACAAGTGATCATTAAACAGTAGATCATTTTCATGAATTTAATATCCCAATGCATTAAATCAATTGTTGCATTACTTTGTTTTACATTGTGAGGTATCATTTTTCTGGGTTGATTGTAGAAACTGACATGTTTGTTTTGTAAATGACAACTGCAAATCCTGGTTTACCTGTGTTTACCTGTGCTGACAGATGTTTGTTTGATGGTCATATGTTGGCATTAGTAGTTTTGTTAGAACATATATGCAGAACTTGGAACTGCGGCAGATAGATACAATCCCTGGGAGTTGACAACTCTAGCAGAAATCTGGTCCCCTATAACCAATTGATTTTGTCAATTTTGAATGAAAGCATTACTTAGATTGTATTGTATTTAATTAAAGACAAAAACATTTGTAACAGCTCACCTTATATTTAGATTTTCTTTGCGCTCCCTCAAAGGCAAGTCCCGCTTTAGTGCGTGTTTTCTCAGTATACATAATGTCTGTATATGTAAGTAAATATTTGTAATTGCCAGTGACTGCAGTCAGAAAGGGTGTTAATTACAGCATATTTGCCATGTCAATTTCATGTACATAGCAGTGAAAGCTGGATCAACACACCTCTGCTGTACACACTGTCAACCCATTTGTTACGCAGGCAATTATATTAGCGTATATCTCCACCTTGCAGTGTTTATGTTTTCTTCAGTTTACCTTGTTGATTTCTCAGCTATTAGTTTGTCAGGCTGCTTTGCTTACCTGAGTATTTTTATGTCGTACGTGTCCGATTCCTTGCCACTGTTCTTGATTTTGTGTTAATTATGGTGACATATTGGTTTTTATTAAAGTTATAATAGGTGATAACTCTGTATGTACTGAACTTTAGCATAGTAGTTATTATAGGTGATAACCCTGTACATATTTACTGTAGTTATACTTTATTCAAATAGCGTACATCTTTCACATCATTGCCAAATTTCAGTTTGGCTAAACTCACACAATCATACTTTAGAGGGTCATATTTTTCAAAAGATGTCCTCTACACTGCCAGTTATCTAATGAGCAGTTGTGCAGGAAGCAGTGTTAAAACTGATCTACTGTACAAGCGTCACTAGGAATATATCACTTTGTTTCCACATGAGCAATACCACATGATAACCCTGTGTGTATGGACTTTTCAGTGTAATTATAATGGGTGATTTCCCTGTTTGAAATCAATCATATTTTGATTGTATATTGATCAAATGTAGCCTAAAGCCATGATTACTAAGTAGATTTTAAACAATCAACTTTGAAATGGTAAAGCCACGACCTGATAGATTAAAAAGAAATTAGTTGTCAGAACCTGCGTTCATTTAATTGCAATAACCGTCGAGATATGCCTCCGAGGGACGGATGTTAATCAAGAATGTCTACCAGCCTGAACAGTGACAACATGTAGCATGTTTGAAATTTTGCTAGACCCTAGGATACAAGTAACATTAACAGAACGGTTCTGGGCAAGTGCTAATTTCCATCTCTGCCTCTTATGTACAAAGAGTTGCAATGTGCATAACCAATTTACAGTTACCATGACAGTCTGTGACTTTAGCCACTGGTCCTGAGCCTAGGTCAAGTTCATAATTTTCTCAGTGTAGTAAGCTCAGCAAATTTGAGTGATGTTAATATATTAAGTGTAAACTGTATAAGAAATATTGTCATGTGACAAGTAAGGGCTAGCTGAGACAAATGTTTTGATGGGGTAGCCTAGTGGTTAAGGCGTTCATCATCATGCTGAAGACCGGGGTTGGATTCTCCACATGAGTTCACACACTTCCCCACAGGGATATTGCTGGAATATTGATTAAAGTGGTTCTCACTCACTCACATTCCGACGACATCATTTACAGCCTCAACTTTCAATAATAATAATAATAATAATAGTTTATTACTGTGTCATATGTTACATGTAGTAATACATTTTGGCACTTTACCTCATACAAACACCGGGCCAGTTCTGGCCTAAATGACACCAGATAAATACATATATTTTTCAGTAAAATTGAATAAAAAGTATTATAAAAAATATTCATATATATATATACATCAATCACATCCATTCACACTTCATGATCTCTCACAACTGTTAAAAGGGAGCTATGTTATTAATATATTAATATTCAATGACAATAAACCATAGAAAGTGTGATGCATTGAACAACTCACAATGCTGTGCATGTGTTTATGTTATTGTTGTGACTGGGGCACCATGTGGGTGTGGCCGATATTTAATGACAGATTCTCATTCTCACAGTATTTGCTAAAACCAGTTGTTAGGTCAACAATCCTGTGAGCATATCTCATTATATTTTTCAAATCATACCTTTCTAACATGTAATAGTATCATACAAGCTGATTTTGTCAGCAACAAGATCAAATGCTACTTGATGTATCAGTGACAGTAATGATGTCTGATGTAACTCCCTATTCTGACTTGTACCATACATCCCCATTCAGGTGCCAGTGGTGAGGCAGGACACGATCCCCTTTTGGCAAACAAATGATATCATCACTATTTCATAGTGATTCATAAACACATACTCTGTCATCATATCGCATGATGACAATCACTAGATAGTCTGGTCCAGAGTCGATTGTTTACAAACAACATTGTACAGCTGTAATACTGCTGTAACAAATACATACTTGTGCTGTAGTCAGAATTGTAAAATCGCCTGTTGCTTTTAGCAGAGATTTCTTATGGATGTGGAAAGGGTTTTGTCATTTCCGTCTATCTGTTTCTATTTTTCAGTCTAGATTGAACAAGTTCTGTGAAGGAAGCATAAATGACCTTGAGTTATGTGAAGAAGCCTTTTGTAGCCACCTGTCTTTAGGTTATAGTTTTGTATATTGGTTTACAGAATTGTTAACCCATGAATAGGAAAGCAGATAAACCAAATCTAAAAAACTGTTACTGCCCACTGTCCACCCAATCAGGATGGTCAACTACTGGTTTAGTTCAAGTACCACAGATGCTCAGTATCATGTTACCTTCATGCCATGCCAGAAAATCTCTTATGAAGTACAGTGGGAGCTCTCAAAACCTGCAGCCCTCCAATCCGGCATGCTCTCAAGATCGGCACTAGAATTTGGTCCCGGCAGAAGCTAGTTAATTTATGATCATTTACATGCCCTCTAACCCGGCGTCAGTCTATTCCGTATTTCTGCACAACAAAGAATATCTCTATGAAGTATACCCTAAAGGAAAATATTGTTTTATTTTATGTTTTGATGAAAATTGACTTTCTTATTAGCTGGCAGGTGAGATGCTGCGCTTGTTCGACCCCACGGTGGAACCCCAGTCAGCTCCTGGAGAGGAACCCCTCAACCTCATCCCTATCTACCGTAGCCCCAAGATACAAGGAGGAATTCTGCCAGGTAAGGTTTCAGTTGGATAACCAAGTGGGGATTGAACATAATACTGGAACTGTGAAATGTAGCAAGAATGTCAACAGGTTACTCAGAGAAATTTTGGCTTCAATCTGGTTGAAGAGCTGATAAATGTTACGGAGACCAGGAACTGTCCAGTTTGTGGCAGTTTGTTGTAGGTCACATATAAACAAGGACAGTACTTTGTTAACAAGGAAGTTGTTGTTGTGCATTCATTGCCCCAATAAACGTCAAGCCAAACAGATGTGAGTGTCGGATGTAATAAGGATATTGGCTTGATCTGTTTGTGCAAATGTATAAAAATATTTAATATTGTATCATTACTTGTTCAACCCTCTGATCCAGACTGCCTACGGATATATTGCATTTTATTACATTTACACATCATAGTCTGTATTTTTATTGGTTGAAAAAGTGTCACATGAGTTATCAGATGACATGGCATTGCCCTGAAACCCCTCTACCATGCAACAATCAAAAGTAAATTACCCTGCATGATTAAGCCAATAAACTCAAAGGAGAGAAATGTTTTTCAAGCAGTCAGTGAGAGCATAGTGCAAAGCTTGTTGTGAAGCAACATCTCCCAGGTAAACATATGGCGGCTTGATTCATCATTGTTGAACTTGTTGGTTATTACAAACTCAAAGTGAAATATTGTTGATTATATATTGTGTCATAATACAATTATTGACCACTATTTGGGCAGTATCATGATACTAATTCACCTTTGTGATTGGTTAACAATAAATTAAATGTAACATTTGTAAGGTTGAATATTGAATATTTATTTCACAAATATTGATGATGAATTATTTATGAGATTTGTTTTCCTTTTGATACTGTGCCTCAGACTATATCTGGAGTAAGAAGGTTGTCAGTTTACTAAGGTCTACTTTACTTTGAATAAAATTCATGTCCTAGTTATAATTTGTATAATGTGAAAAATATATGTTTGGTAATTTATGGATAATTACTTACTAATGACATGATTGTTAGCATTGTTAACATGCTAATCTTGATGAGAGGTTGGCTTGATTGTCAGCCCCATCTGTTTGATCATGATTTGCTTTCACAAATTGTAGGGGCCTTTTAATGACCTTTAATAATTTATCCTTTGATAATTGCTTTAATCATGCAGATCAATGGCTCAATCAGTTATTTGATCAGTCGCTCCTCTGCTAAGATTCTGGAACATGAAGATCTCTCTGACATGTCCCCTGTCATCCATGGTTATGTGTATATCACGACGATGTGTTGATATGTGTAATATGAACAATCTGGAATATTAACACTTGAGAACATTTTGAAGTCTGAAAGTAATTCCATTAATGTGAAACTAGAAAGAATATGTGATTGCTGTTTGTATAGCTAGGGTGATGGGAATGAATAGGTGTTCAGAGAGCATGCGAGCACTCAAAGTCAACTGGAAGACTTATGTCCAGATGGACTCAGACTGACCAAAAGACAGAAAAAGATAGTTAAAACAAGGACTGGTTGACTTGGAGTCTGTGTTCTGTGTCTGAGTGGGTGATCCCTGTTAAACCTGCAGCCAGGAATTTCATTTGGCTAGCAATGAATAACCGAGAGCATAAGTAGTTCAAACTAGTACAAGCAGCCACACCTACATACATAATATTTATGATGTTTGCAATGTTAACAGAAAGACTTCAACATCTTCCATTCAATATCTTCAAGTGCAGGTACATAGAACTGTGAATCAATAGTATTGTTTAGATGATGATTGTCAGTCAAATATTAATATGTCAATGCTGTTCCATGGGTTATTTACAGTATACATGGTAAGGATATGTGTAGAAACAGAACCAGGTATCCAGGGTAATCAACTTTCAGAATTTAAGTGCCAGGTCAAGCGTACCTTGTTACATCCCTGTGATGACAACAGTTTGAGAGTCAGGAAGTGACAAGATTCCAAAACTATAGCTGCAAACCTCAGAGGTCCAAGGAAAATATTAATCTGGGACAATGATTATACCCATATACAAACTCCTGTATGACCGCTGATGTAGGGACCTGCAGCTGTGTTAGAAGTGCTTCCCTTTCTATGCTGGTCATAAGAGGCGACCAAATGGATAGGTCAGTCTCAGTGTCTTGTTTCTGCATGTGCTTGTATGCATGTGCTTATATGCCTGTGCTTGTATGTAAATGTGGCATGGATCAGTGTTCATGATGTCAATCACTGTCTGTGTTCAGACTTGACTATATACAGACCATCATTACACAGCTGGTATATGGCTTAGTGCTGATTCAATCAACATAAACCACACATACAGATCATGTCTTGAAGTGTACAATGTAGAGGCTATTCTAAGTTTAAATTAATCAGTACTGACACAACCCAGGGTTTCAATGTGTTGTTGAAAACACATTGATAAGGACACTTTGTGGCTGACTTGTGAATGTCTGTAGGAAGAATATCACCTGGTGCTGATAGACAGCAGGCTGTCCTCGGGGACTTTACATTCATTTCTGTGCCAAAAGGATGACTGGTGTCATGAAAGTTCTTGAGCCAGTAGCCAAGAATCACAGTTAGGCTATCATTATGTTGAAATGGGGATGACAAGAATAATTGGTTTTGAGATTTGTTTCTTACTTGGAGACATTTCTGTTTTGGTGTCTGCTGTTCCATGTTGGTTCTGAAGGTCACATTGAATGCTTTTAAATTTTTTTCTGACAACATAAACCTTTTAACTTGCCATTGACACTCTGGACTACAGAGAACAGTCTTCATGTCATATCACTGTATAAGTGTTTCTTATGGCTGCAGTTACAGGTCTATCTACATGCCATGTAAAATTTGTAAAAGGATTTGCTATGTCAGTAGGTTCAGGAGTGTGAGATACCCCACCAATGTATAAGGATTTGCTATGGCAGTAGGTTCAGGAGTGTGAGATACCCTACCAATGTATAAGGATTTGCTATGGCAGTAGGTTCAGGAGTGTGAGATACCCTACCAATGTATAAGGATTTGCTATGGCAGTAAATTCAGGAGTATAAGATACCTTACCAATGTATAAGGATTTGCTATGGCAGTAGGTTCAGGAGTGTGAGTGCCCTACCAATGTATAAGGATTTGCTATGGCAGTAGGTTCAGGAGTGTGAGATACCCTACCAATGTATAAGGATTTGCTACGACAGTAGGTTCAGGAGTGTGAGATACCCTACCAATGTATAAGGATTTGCTATGGTTCAGTAGGTGAGATACCCTACCAGAGGTGTGTGAGTTACCCTACCAATGTATAAGGATTTGCTATGGCAGCAGGTTCAGGAGTGTGAGATACCCTACCAATGTATAAGGATTTGCTATGGCAGTAGGTTCAGGAGTGTGAGATACCCTACCAATGTATAAGGATTTGCTATGGCAGTAGGTTCAGGAGTGTGAGATACCCTACCAATGTATAAGGATTAGCTATGACAGTAGGGTCAGGAGTGTGAGATACCCTACCAATGTATAAGGATTAGCTATGGCAGTAGGTTCAGGAGTGTGAGATACCCTACCAATGTATAAGGATTTGCTATGGCAGTAGGTTCAGGAGTGTGAGATACCCTACCAATGTATAAGGATTTGCTATGGCAGTAGGGTCAGAAGTAACCAGATACCCTACCAATGTATAAGGATTAGCTATGACAGTAGGTTCAGAAGTAACCAGATACCCTACCAATGTATAAGGATTTGCTATGGCAGTAGGGTCAGAAGTGTGAGATACCCTACCAATGTATAAGGATTTGCTATGACAGTAGGTTCAGGAGTGTGAGATACCCTACCAATGTATAAGGATTAGCTATGGCAGTAGGGTCAGAAGTAACCAGATACCCTACCAATGTATAAGGATTAGCTATGACAGTAGGGTCAGAAGTAACCAGATACCCTACCAATGTATAAGGATTAGCTATGACAGTAGGGTCAGAAGTAACCAGATACCCTACCAATGTATAAGGATTAGCTATGACAGTAGGGTCAGAAGTAACCAGATACCCTACCAATGTATAAGGATTAGCTATGACAGTAGGGTCAGAAGTGTGAGATACCCTACCAATGTATAAGGATTAGCTATGACAGTAGGGTCAGAAGTAACCAAGATACCCTACCAATGTATAAGGATTAGCTATGACAGTAGGTTCAGGAGTGTGAGATACCCTACCAATGTATAAGGATTAGCTATGGCAGTAGGTTCAGGAGTGTGAGATACCCTACCAATGTATAAGGATTTGCTATGGCAGTAGGTTCAGGAGTGTGAGATACCCTACCAATGTATAAGGATTTGCTAATGTAGTAGGTTCAGGAGTGTGAGATACCCTACCAATGTATAAGGATTTGCTATGGCAGTGGTTCAGTAGGAGATACCAGGAGTGTAAGATACCCAGTACCAATGTATAAGGATTTGCTATAAGGCAGTAGTAGGTTCAGGAGTGTGAGATACCCTACCAATGTATAAGGATTTGCTATGGCAGTAGGTTCAGGAGTGTGAGATACCCTACCAATGTATAAGGATTTGCTATGACAGTAGGTTCAGGAGTGTGAGATACCCTACCAATGTATAAGGATTTGCTATGGCAGCAGGTTCAGGAGTGTGAGATACCCTACCAATGTATAAGGATTTGCTATGGCAGTAGGTTCAGGAGTGTGAGATACCCTACCAATGTATAAGGATTTGCTATGGCAGCAGGTTCAGGAGTGTGAGATACCCTACCAATGTATAAGGATTTGCTATGGCAGCAGGTTCAGGAGTGTGAGATACCCTACCAATGTATAAGGATTTGCTATGTCAGTAGGTTCAGGAGTGTGAGATACCCTACCAATGTATAAGGATTAGCTATGACAGTAGGTTCAGGAGTGTGAGATACCCTACCAATGTATAAGGATTTGCTATGGCAGTAGGTTCAGGAGTGTGAGATACCCTACCAATGTATAAGGATTTGCTATGGCAGTAGGTTCAGGAGTGTGAGATACCCTACCAATGTATAAGGAT